TAAAACAGTATAAGAAGTTAATTAATAAGACCCGTACAGGATCTTGGAAAGCTTTCTGCACCGAATCTAACAGAAATGGCCCATGGGATATCCCCTACAGCATGATTATGAAAAAGCAGAAGAAAACCTTTCTTCCGGACGTCACCTGTTCAGATGGTGACGCTGATATAAACACTGACCTCGAAGGAAACATCAAACATATATTGAATTACCACTTTCCAGAAGATAATCAAGACTGTGACACTACGAAACAACAGGGCATAAGAAGGAATATATCTCAGCTCTATAATAATAAGAATGACAAGATGTTTACCTTTAGAGAAGTAGAGCGGGCAATCAAAACTATGGCAATCAGGAAATCACCCGGCATCGACGGCATCACGGTAGAGATGTTAAAAGAGGCTTTTAATGAGATTCCCATCGCCTTCGTGCACATTCTGAACAAATGCCTAACCACAGGATTTTTCCCTAAAATATGGAAGATCGCCGACATAAAATTAATTCCCAAGACCGACAATCCAAGCAAGCCAGAAAACTACAGACCCATTAGCTTACTGCCCACAATGGGTAAGCTACTGGATGGTCTCATGATGGAGCGTATAAATTGGCATCTCTCCAGTACCAACCAACTAAATGAAAACCAGTTTGGCTTCAGGCCAGGTAAATCGACGGTTGATGCAGCATTAAGAACAAAAAAAATAATACACGACGCATGGAAAGAGAATAAACATACAATGCTGGTTAAAATTGACTTTCATAAAGCTTTCGACCACCTATGGTGGCCGAGCATTTTAAACCGTCTACGTCAAACCAATTGCCCCGCAAACATCTTTTACCTAGTCAAAGACTATCTTAACAACAGGTCAATCGTATATAATGCAAACACCTTCACCGTCAACAGACCTACTAACCGTGGCTGCCCCCAGGGATCACGAAGCGGACCTGGGTTATGGAACTTAGTCTGTGATGACCTACTTAACCTTATGTCAAGGGGCGAAAACTCCATAATACAGGCTTTTGCGGATGATCTCATTTTGATGGTAACACATCAAAATGTAGACAAACTGGAAGACATAGAGAACAAACAACTGGAAAAAATATACGCTTGGAGCACAGATAACAAACTTCCAATCAACAACGAGAAAACAATCGGTATGGTCTGCACGAGGCGTAATAAGCGTAACAGGCTGAAAAGACCGCCAAGAATTTTTATAAATAATAAAAAGATTAAAATGGAACGGGAACTCAACTACTTAGGCATTCTTTTCGATGACAAATTAAATTGGCACAATCACATTCGCAGTATTTGCAAAAGCATGGAGCAGAAAGCGAACATGCTTAACTGGATCACGGCAAAGACGTGGGGTCTGAACTTCACAAATACAAAATTCATTTACGAAGCAGCAATAGAGCCAGCTATTCTTTACGCGGTTCAGGTGTGGAAGGAGGCACTCGATAATATTCACATGAAGAAAAAGATTACATCAATTCAAAGAAAATTTGCTATAAAAATTAACAAGGCGTACAACACCGCACCAACTAGTGCTCTTCAGATTATGGGAGACCTGCTTCCGATACACCTAAGGGCCAAGTACCTAACTTGGAAATGGCACCTCACAACGACGAACCAACAAATCGAACATTACTTTCCCGAAGACGACGAAATATACATGGAGTTAAAAAAGAACAATACGATCATTGACTTAAATAACAAAAACTACGGAATAGATAGAAACCTAAAGAAAAATGAATGTACAACACATCCGGCAGAGGAACCAAATTTTTGCATACACTGGGAGGATAAATCCGAAACAGAAATTAATACAACTTGGAAAATTTACACTGACGGATCCAGGAGTGACAAAGGGACAGGTGCAGGTTTTATAATTAAAAACTCCAAAGACAGAACTGTATATCAGTGCTATTATAAACTAGGATCCCTCTGTACTAACTCCCAAGCTGAGTTATATGCAATTCTTAAAGCAATTAACCATGTAGAAAATAACATTGACAATTTTAAGGGAAATATCTACATTATGACAGATAGCAGAGCTTCTCTTTATAGATTAATTAACAGGAATCGGATCACGATCTTATCAAGAAAAGTCCAAGAGGCAGCCAAGCTTCTAGGCTCTAAACGACAAATAACGTTTGCATGGGTCAAAGGACACAGTGGTAACGACGGAAACGACAGAGCCGATAAACTGGCTAGACTTGGTGCTAATAGGGACATTAATGCATCATACAACGACGTTTCTCTCACCACCCTGAAAAAATACCTTCTTTCGTTAATCAACAACATCTGGCAACGGGAATGGGAGACAGCTGAAACAGGTAGAAACTGCTTTCAGTTTATCCCAAGTGTGAACATCAGAAAAAAGGCCAGCTACTACAAACCAAACAAGTTTACCACACAGGTAANTCAACACAGGTGAGACAGTATCTGTATCCATCTGATGGAGGCAAGGGTCCTACTAAGTTGATGTGGACGTGTTCGAATTTGGCATTGGGTGCGATAAAGAGGCCCAACCGGCTCCGGGTGTGTCGAGAGACTTTTGCTTGTTGGCATGGAATGCATGTGCGGGCCCATGCTGACATGTTGGCTCTCATTGATGGCCATACGTACTGTTCTTGAACAAGTTTAATTGAAGCTCTGACACCTGGGTGAGAAAGTCCGTGAAGTTGGTTAAAAACTTGCCGACGAAAGTCCTTGGGTACGAATGGTCGTATCCGGCCAGTGGAAACGTCACAATATAGGTCTACAGCTGGCTCTCCTACTGGCAGCGACTGGAGCTTAAGAGAGTTAGGTGTATTACTTAGGAATTTTTGTAGTTCCGTGTCTCCTTGCTGCGCTACCGCCATCTCTTGGAAGTTTATAAACGATGGTGTCTCGATGGTGGAGATGGCGATGCGTGAGAGAGCATCTGCTACTACATTGTCCATTCCTTTTACGAAACGAATGTCTGTAGTAAATTGACTGATGAAGTCCAAATGTCTGAGTTGTCTCGGAGAACACTTGTCAGCTTTTTGCTGGAAGGCATAAGTCAGTGGTTTGTGATCCGTGAATAATATAAACGGTCGACCTTCAACCATATGCCTAAAGTACTTGATGGCCGTGTATGCAGCCAAGAGCTCCCGGTCATAGGCACTGTATTTTTTTTGTGNGAAATTATGTACAGCTGGATTCCAGCACACAACGACATAGAGGGAAATGAAAGGGCCGATTGGCTAGCAAAAAAGGCAAGTATTTCGAATGGTAAGATTACTTATAGGAGAATTCCGAAAACAGTTTTAAAAAATTCACTGCTGGACTGGGCCATAAAAATATGGCAAAGAGAGTGGAATAATTCAATAACAGGGAGACTCTGTCACAAATTCATACCAGACATCCAAAATCGTTTAAAAATAAAACACTACAAGCCAAAGCCGGACACAACCCAGTGTTTGACGAATCATGGAAAGTTTGAAGCATATCTATATCGATTTAAATTCAAAAATAATAATAAATGCAACTGTGATCATGAGAGCGTTGGAGATGCACACCACTTCATTTTTCAATGTGATAAATATGAAAACAACCGCTTCCCTTTTTACAGGGAGTGTATTCAAAATGGATTGAGCTGGCCACCGGAATTAAACAGGATTTTTAATGACAAGCAAATCTGGAAAACTTTCGAGAAATTTATAAAGGAAACAAAGGCCCTACTACCAGATAAAATGATTAATCAGGAAACCCCCGAGGAGGAAGAAACCGGGGAAAGAGAAAATTATAGTTCCATAGATGGTACGATGGAGGACAATACAGAAGGCAGTGAAGAAGAAAGTGAAGAAGACAGTGAGGAGGACAGCGAAGAAGATTAAGACACACTTCTTCTGTCTATGCACATTTTGTTATTTTGTTTTATTGTATATATAATGTTCACAAAGCTATATATCCTAAGTAAGATAGGGGTATATGTAAAGACAATCAATGGACAAAATTTAGGTTAAAGGGTGCAGATGGACAGAGCTCAAGAATGTTTGTCCATTTTTCTTCATGTATATCTTCATGTAAATATTGTAAATATTTTACACTGTGTTAGAGGCCTCGAGCTGAGTGCCGTTTTGTACTTTGTATTTGGTTTTAAATAAATGACCCGATGCAAGCGCTCTGGGGCCCATGACTTCTTTCCCACTGTCCTATCTCCCTGTTTTTCACACTTCACATCTCATGCTTTCTCTTCCTTCCTACTTCCATAGGGCAAAAGTCTGTAGCTTAAAGACAGACAGCCCTCTATTTACTTTACAATTAAATGTCTATAGCAACCGAGGGCGTCGAGTCGCGAACCAGTTAGGCTGTGTGTGTATCGAGCTCCGCTTTGGATCGCCGCATCGAAGTCAATATTATCCAATCCGAGGATTATTATATATTATTGGATTCGTCTCAACGTAAGCTATCTAACAACGTCAAGTTTGTGAGGATCGGACTTACGAGCGGAAAGTTACGGGCTGCGGAACTTTCATGTTTTCCGGTCGCCATTTTTAGGCGAATTTTACCGGTGAGTGACTGATTTATATATCGTTCGATAGAGGATTTCGTGCTGATTTCTCCGCCGTTTACGGTATTGAAATCGGACTTACCGTTTTTATTTTATTGCGACCACAACGTTTTGCTTATCGGGCCACCGTGCGGGCTTGTCGGGCCACCAGGGCTAATCATATTCGGGTGTTTCTTTGTTCCGACTATTCCCTACGTGTGTGAAAAATTTCGAGCTTTTACGTCAATTAGTTTTTAAGATATGAACATTTTTAAATTTCTTGTGAACAAAGGTGTCAAAGGTCGTTGACCTCGCCACGTGGCCGGGTCAGATACTCCATCGGACCCTAATTCGGAAGTTTTTCGGTCTTTTTTGTCGGGATTCGTTACTCCTGTTACATTGTGTAATATATTGATAGAATTGTAAAATTTTTAGCGATTATTTTAGTATAGTAATCAGTTATAAATTTATATTATTTTTAGTCATTATAATTATATAGTTATTTTAACTGTATAAAAATTGTACGGTGTTTTTATATCTTGTGTTAACATTATCTGAACTATTGTGCTTAACCATGGATGATTCCAAACTTCAAACGAGGGGCACACGAACCCCAATTGTGTACATGGACGAGGAGGAGGACCAAACTACGGACCAAGAAATGGAACAAACCACAGAGGAAATAGAAACAACATTATTAAGTGAGGCAAAAGATATGCTCAGCACAGTGATGGAATTGTGCCCTGAGCACACCAACACCAATGTGAAACAAAAAGAGCGATGTAAGATAAGGGAATGCGTGGCAAACATGTTTGGTTATCTACACGAGATGTTCGCCATAGTCAAGGAAACTAGAAGGCAAATGGCAAGGGTAGAAAACAACAAATCTCAACAAGCACCACTACAAACTACTCAGAATACTACTTACAGCGACATATTAAAAAGAACCATCAAACCAAGTAACACAACTAGAAACATTCAGAAATCCTTAGATCAAAAATTGAATCAAGAAGGAACTGGAGGCTCACACGCAGTGCTTATTTACCCCAAAGATCAGACTGGAGAAGAGGAACAAATTAACATGGACAAAGTGACAGAGGTATTGAAAAGTAAAATCGAACCGCACAAACTGAAGATTAAAATCAAAACGGTCAGGAAAGTAAAAGACAATGGTGTCTGCATTAGAGTAGGGGACAGAGACCAGAGCATATCGCTCGAAAAAGCAATCAAAGAAATTAAAGAACTTGATGATAAGATTAATTGTAAACGATCAGAAGGGAAAAAACCGAGAGTGATTTTATTGAACGTACCTCAATCCATCCAAGAAGACGACATACCTACATATATATATAAACAAAACGACATATGGGGAGATTTAAAAGAAGAAACTTTTAGAAACCAGTGTACGATCAGTACAATACTGAATAGGGGGAGACGGACAGAAAACTGTAGGCATGTTGTCTTATCAGTGGCACCACAAATACGCAACACCTTCATTAAAGAGAAGCATATTTCGATAAATTGGGCCACCATAAAAGTGGATGATTACATCCCTATAACAAGGTGCTACCGATGCTGTGGCACCGGACATATAGCCAAAGATTGTGACCAGGAACAACACTGCTCGCACTGTGGTGAGAACCACAAATATTCAGAGTGTGACAGACTCAAAAAGCCGCCTTGCTGTGTTAACTGTCACAGAAATAACAAAGATGCACCAAACAGTAAGAAACAGCCGACAAACCACGGAGCACTTCACCCTATGTGCCCAATCACTAAAAGATTAAAAGAAGCGGCTATAAAGAGAACCGATTATGGATTATAACAACTTACAATCCAATACTCAGAGACATAACTCAACTCAGCATCTAAACAGCAATAACCACTTCTTTAATATACTCCAAATCAATACGCAGCGGAGCAAGGCGGCATGCTCTAACTTGGTTCAAACGGCTAATGAAACTAACATCGACCTAATATGCATTCAAGAGCCTTACCACATAAACAACAATATTGTGAGGTTCGGCAAGTGGAAGGTGATATCTGGCACCAACAAAACTAGGCCCAAGAGCGGCATAATTTGCTGCAATCCTCATATCGATATTGCAAGAATTCCACAACTGTGCACGGACAGGTTAACTACTATCATCCTCCAGCTCACAGAACCCATCTTAATCATAAGTGCTTACTTCTCACCCGAAGACGACGACGAAGAATGCGTCGAAGAACTTTCCAACATAATTAGAAAAATTAGGAACCGTAGGCTCATGATCATGGGTGATTTAAACGGCAAATCGCCAGTTTGGTTTCATGAGAAAGAGGACAGGAGGGGAAGGCTTATCACTGAGATGATGGGTGAGTTCAACTTAATTTCAACCAATATGACGACGCATCCGACATTTTACACCCCATTCGCTAAAGGATGGACGGATGTATGCCTTGTCACGGACAACCTTTCTCATGAAATCGATAATTGCGAAACACTCCTCATTCCGTCTGCTAGTGATCACCGCTTCATCCTCACTCAAATCAATCAACCTAATACAACAATAAGGGCAAAGGAGCATTCTTTTCAGACAAAACAAACAAACTGGACACTATTTAGACAAGAATTTGCTCGGTGCTGGCAAAACTATGATTTTCCGAACATTAAAACCCACGCTGATATGGACAGTTATGCTCAGTTCTTCACTGAGGCACTGAAAAAGGCAGGTACAAAGGCCCTTCGTTACAAACAACTACCTCCAAGAAAAACTAAATGGTGGGATGATTCCCTGAACCGCAAAAGAAGAGAAGTCAACAGAATGAGGAAAAAATACACTAGAGCCAAAAATACCGACGATGAAAAGAATTATAAAATCAAATATAAAGACGCCCTAAAACAGTATAAGAAGTTAATCAATAAAACCCGAACAAACTCTTGGAAAGTTTTCTGCACCGAATCAAACAAGAATGGCCCATGGGACACTCCCTACAGCATGATTATGAAAAAACAAAAAAAAATCTACCCTCCAGACGTCATCGGCTCGGATGGTGACGCTGAAATAAACACTGACCTTGAAGGAAATATCAAACATATATTGAATTACCACTTTCCAGAAGATAATCAAGACTGTGACACTACGAAACAACAGGACATAAGAAGGAATATATCACAACCCTACAATAGTAAGAACGACAAAATGTTTACCTTTCGAGAAGTCGAGAGGGCAATCAATACTATGGCAAACAGGAAATCGCCCGGCATCGACGGCATCACAGTAGAAATGTTAAAAGAAGCTTTTAAGGAGATCCCCATCGCCTTCGTGCACATTCTGAACAAATGCCTGACCACAGGTTTTTTCCCAAAAATATGGAAGACCGCTGATATTAAATTAATTCCTAAGACCGACAATCCAAGCAAGCCAGAAAACTACAGACCCATTAGCTTACTGCCCACAATGGGTAAACTACTGGACGGTCTTATGATGGAGCGTATAAATTGGCATCTCTCCAGTACCAGTCAACTAAATGAAAACCAGTTTGGCTTCAGGCCAGGTAAATCGACGGTTGATGCAGCATTAAGAACAAAAAAAATAATACACGACGCATGGAAAGAGAATAAACATACAATGCTGGTTAAAATTGACTTTCATAAAGCTTTCGACCACCTATGGTGGCCGAGCATTTTAAACCGTCTACGTCAAACCAATTGCCCCGCCAACATCTTTTACCTAGTCAAAGACTACCTGAACAACAGGTCAATCGTATATAATGCAAACACCTTCACCATCAACAGACCCACTAATCGTGGATGCCCCCAGGGTTCACGAAGCGGACCTGGGTTATGGAACTTAGTCTGTGACGACCTACTTAACCTTATGTCAAGGGGCGAAAACTCCATAATACAGGCTTTTGCGGATGATCTCATATTGATGGTAACACATCAAAATGTAGACAAACTGGAAGACATAGCGAATAAACAACTGGAAAAAATTTATACTTGGAGCAAAGATAACAAACTTCCAATCAACAACGAGAAAACAATCGGTATGGTCTGCACGAGGCGTAATAAGCGTAACAGGCTGAAAAGACCGCCAAGGATTTTCATAAATAATAAAAAGATTAAAATGGAACAGGAACTCAACTACTTAGGCATTCTTTTCGATGACAAATTAAATTGGCACAATCATATTCGCAGTATTTGCAAAAGCATGGAACAGAAAGCGAACATGCTTAACTGGATCACGGCAAAGACGTGGGGTCTGAACTTCACAAATACAAAATTCATTTACGAAGCGGCAATAGAACCAGCTATTCTTTACGCGGTTCAAGTGTGGAAGGAAGCACTCGAAAATATTCACATGAAGAAAAAGATTACATCAATTCAAAGAAAATTTGCTATAAAAATTAACAAGGCGTACAACACCGCACCTACTAGTGCTCTCCAGATTATGGGAGACCTCCTTCCGATACACCTAAGGGCCAAATACCTAACTTGGAAATGGCACCTCACAACGATGAACCAACAAATCGAACATTACTTTCCCGAAAACGACGAAATATACACGGAGTTAAAAAAGAACAATACGATCATTGACTTAAATAACAAAAATTACGGAATTGATAGAAACCTAAAGAAAAATGAATGTACAACACATCCGGCAGAAGAACCAAACTTTTGCATACACTGGGAGGAAAAATCTGAAACAGAAATCAAAACAACTTGGAAAATTTACACTGACGGATCCAGGAGTGATAAAGGGACAGGTGCAGGTTTTATAATTAAAAACTCCAAAGACAGAACTGTACGTCAGTGCTATTATAAACTAGGATCCCTCTGTACTAACTCCCAAGCTGAGTTATATGCAATTCTCAAAGCAATTAACCATGTAGAAAATAACATTGACAATTTTAAAGGAAATATTTACATAATGACGGACAGCAGAGCTTCTCTTCATAGATTAATTAACAGGAATCGGATCACGATCTTATCAAGAAAAGTCCAAGAGGCAGCCAAGCTTCTCGGCTCTAAACGACAATTAACTTTTGCATGGGTCAAAGGACACAGTGGTAATGACGGAAACGACAGAGCCGATAAACTGGCTAGACTTGGTGCTAATAGTGACATTAATCCATCATACAACGACGTTTCTCTCACCACCCTGAATAAATACCTTCTTTCGTTAATCAACAACATCTGGCAACGGGAATGGGAGACAGCTGAAACAGGTAGAAACTGCTTTCAGTTTATCCCAACTGTGAACATCAGAAAAAAGGCCAGCTACTACAAACCAAACAAGTTTACCACACAGGTAATCTTAGGCCACGGTAACTTCCCTGCTTACTTACACAGATTCAGAATAAAGGACAACAATTTATGTGATTGTAACAATAGTGACATCGGTGATGCAATCCATTTTGCCTTTCACTGTGAAAAATACAGCAACCAACGATCAGAACTCTTCTACAGTTACCTATTAAAGAATCCTTCTTGGCCTCCAAAACCGGTGAACATTTTTAGTGACAGAAATCTTTGGAAAATTTTCGAGGACTTTATAATCAAGACAGAAGCTTTAAAAGAACAATTTAGCAACAACGAAAACAATCATTACTCGGATGATAGTAACAACACGGTGGACAGTTCATCGGAAGATGAAATCCTTCAGAGAGGATCCCCGTGATCCCCTCTGCCATCAACGCTCCTAATATTGTATTAAGGTTAATTATGTATATTTATGTTTTATAGTTATGGGAGCATGATCTCTGTATTATTTTACATGTTAAAGCGGCTAGCTGTCTGCAGGCCATTATTGTAAGCGGTATCTAAATATCTTGTTGATAGTCTTGTAACCTTTTATTGTGTTTTTATGTACTCTTAATGTAATTTGTATGCTTTTTAATCAATAAATGCCGATGCAAGACGCCCTCTGGTCCCATGCCTTACTTCACACTTTCCTATTCATCTTTAACTTCATACTTCAATTCACATGCTTTATACTTCCTTCAATCTTCATCAGGGCAGAAGTCTGTAATGCAAACTACGGACAGCCCTCTATAACCTTNAATAAATGCCGATGCAAGACGCCCTCTGGTCCCATGCCTTACTTCACACTTTCCTATTCATCTTTAACTTCATACTTCAATTCACATGCTTTATACTTCCTTCAATCTTCATCAGGGCAGAAGTCTGTAATGCAAACTACGGACAGCCCTCTATAACCTTTAGTAAATGTAGCACTTGGTTCATGAAGCGTTGGAAAGTAGCAGCTGCGTTTGAAAGGCCGAAAGGCATAAACAGGTATTCAAAAAGTCCGAATGGAGTAGTGACTGCAGTCTTCAGAATGTCCTCCTCTTTGACGGGGATCTGATGATATGCCTTTGCTAGGTCTAAAGTTGAATATATTTGTTTCCCCTCCAGCATTTGTACGCAGTCTTGCATATGTGGTACGGGGTATCGGTCAGGGACAATAGCTGCGTTAAGTCTTTGAAAATCGCCACAAGGGCGCCCCCCCATTGCTCTTAGGCACCATATGCAATGGACTAGCCCAACTACTTTTTGAGGGGCGGCAGATGCCTTGTGCGACTAGGTACTTGAATTCTTGCCTTGCTGCTTTAAGTTTTTTGGGCGGTAATTGTCGAGGCCTTGAGAAAACTGGGGGTCCCTTCGTTTCTATGTGGTGTTGCACGTTATGCTTTACCAGGTGGGGTGCTGTGGCAACCTCCGTCAGATTGGGAAATTCCGCCAAAAGTTTGTGAAAAAACGTGTCTTCCCTTATTGATCTAACGGCAGCTGGTGAGCCCACTGTAACTTTTCCTCTTGAGTTCATCTTAGTCAGTGGATCGACTAGGCAGCTGCGGCGAATGTCTACTAGTAACCCGTAGTGGCGTAAAAAATCAGCTCCGATAATGGGTTGAGAGACTGTTGCCATGATGAATGGCCAGTGAAAGGT